ACTTTCAGTGATCTATGCACATGGACAACGAGATCTTTCTGCTCATCCAAACTACCAAGAATCTTACCATTAGCCCAGTACTCTGTATTCCTGTTACTCCTTCCAAAGTGAATCACCTCACACTTTTCCGCATTAAACTCCATTTGCCACCTCTCAGCCCAGCTCTGCAGCTTATCTATGTCCCTCTGTAACCTGCAACATCCTTCCGCACTATCCACAACTCCACCGACTTTGGTGTCATCCGCAAATTTACTAACCCATCCTTCTACGCCCTCATGCAGGTCATTTGTAAAAATGACAAACAGCAGTGGCCCCAAAACAGATCCTTGAGGTACACCAAGTAGCTTGGTTTAAAATTCTGCTCTAAATTCTTACCATTTCTATGATTCAAATATAGGTAATTTAGTTGTTTAAATTTTTAAAAATCCTACACAAGTCAGATGATGATTAGATACTTAGGCAACTTATCTTTATCCACCATCGAAAGGAATGGATGATGAAAATCTTTATGGTATGCTTAGAATCTAAAAAAAAAATTATGAATTCACCAATAGTAGCAGCACTGAAAAGTTAAAAAAAACTTAAGCTCCAGTATGGTTTGATTTTTGAACATTTGAATAAAAAGGATCCTCAATTCATTAACCGACTATATTCTATGGAGGTCATTGGGTGATGAGGTCTGAAAATTTAATGAATACCAAATCTCAGCTATTCAGGTGTGACATTTTCAGTGTTCAAAGACCAAACAGTTGGCATAATTTTTACTTGTGGTCTTAAATATACATCGGCAGTCAGTTCTTTCCTCATCTATGGAGGAGAAATAACAGGGAGACTCCATAAAAAGCTGGAAGTCTGATTAACTTGCTGTAATCTACTCAATGTGTGACTCATTAGAATCACCCATTGTATATTATGGAAACACGGCACTCCTTTTGAACCGAATGCCATTGTAAAGGAACATTTGCAATTTTTGCTATAATTAAAAAGGATCTTTTAAAAAAATGCATTTGCAACTGCACAGGTACTTCAAAATTAACAGTTGGATTAACATAAAAAAATTAGAATATGCAGCACATTTAAGTTAGATAAATTCAATAAAAGTTGAACCTCACTAATTTAATGTCATTTTAATTGAACTGGTAGCACTCATCAGGGTTAGGGTTATGGTTATAGGTTTAGCCAATCCTCACTAATAATCCAAATAATAAGGCAAACACTGTTGTTAGACATTTTTTCAGTTGGAAATTTAAAACTAGAAAAGCAGCTATTACCCTTCTATGGGCATGTTAAACCAAACCCAGTCAGGGTTATTGCAGTGCAGTGGTTGTGTCCTCAGTCTCTGAGCCAGGAGATCTGGGTTCAAGTCTCAAGACAAGTTGACTACACAATATAAAACCAAACACATTTGGCTACTCTAGTCATTCATGAGTGACCCAAGACAAGAAAACAAGAAAACATTTGAGCCATCACATGACAAACAAAAAATATTATGTTTTGCTTGTTTAGCACCTGGCAACACTGATGTCCCAAAATGCTTTAGAGCAAACCCATTCAAGCACAGTTACTGCTGTAATGTGGTAAAACAGTGCAACCCATTTCTATATCACAGGGTCCCACAAGCACCAATGAGTTAAATATTCAAATATGCTTACGAGATATTGGTAAACAATGACTATGTCACTGGGAACAATTTCACCACTTGAGGCATGGAATCTTTTACTATTCAATTTAACATTGAAATTCAAACACCTCAAAACTGTACATCCTCTACCTAACTGTGGATCTAGATTATACGCTAAAGTCTTTCAGTCAAGTTTGATTACCTGGCTTTGGATATTAGAGGCACGTGACACCATTGAGCCATTGATGACACCTTAAAAGCAAAATATTTGGTCCATCAAGTCTGCACTGACTCTCTAAAGAGCATCCCATCCCCATAACTGTGGTTTAAAAGCCCCATGCACAGTTAACCCACCTAAGCTGCACATCCTTGGATACTATGGGGCAATATTTAGCACAGTCAATCTACCTAACATACACATCTTTGGACTGTGGGAGGAAACTGGAGCAGCTGGTCAAAACACATGCAGACAAGGGACAGAATGTGTAAACTCTACACAGTTGGTCACTCACCGATGACCACACCTTCAGTTGCCCAAGCTCCCTGCATCAGGGTACTCTTCCTTCAATTCTCTTTTGGCCGTGCTCTTCAAGGCAGTCAAAGGGATGCTTTGATAAGTAAGCTTTCAGTCATAAGGAAATACTTCTCTGTAGCCACTGTAGGTGGTGCATACTGTATTTTTTTATAATGCTCCTGTAGAAACCTTTTGGGACATTTTACTGCATTTACAATAATACTTTGAAAGTTCAATTGAATCCCTACAGTGTCGAAACAGGTCATTCGGCCCACACAAGTCCACACCAACCCCATGGAGAGCATCCCACCCAGACCCATCCTTCTACCCTATTCCTTTAACCCTTCGTTTGCCATGGGTAACACACCTAACTTACATATCCCTGAACACTATGGGCAATTTAGCATGGCCAATCCACCTAACTTGCACATCTTCGAACTGTAGGAGGGAACCGGAGCACCTGGCAGAAACTCTCACAGACCTGGGGGGAATGCGCAAACTCCACACAGACACAGCTGCCTGAGGGTGGAATCAATCCCGGGTCCCTGGTGCTGTGAGGTAGCAGTGCTAATCACTGAGCTGCCTTACGTTATTTATAATTGGCTCGTAGCAATAAAATGCAATTTTAATCGAACATCTTTGAAACTAGTATGTCAGATTATTTTGATCCTGTCTGATCAGAACAGGCTGTGTGCCACTCAACCTTCTGTACAATTGCAGATGCCACATTCCAGCTGTGTTGGTTCCTAATGGGATATGAAAATTCAAATACACATGAGATCACAAACACAACCAGCAAGTATAATTAACTTCCTGAAACAGATGACAAAACAGGCTATTCAACCCAGTTAACTTGTGCCGACATGCAATGAGTAGCCCTAATTGCATGTACCCATCCATCCTTCAGCTACATCTATATGGTCATAGTTTCTACTTCAATCGATGCAAGTACTACATCCCACCACCCGCTCTGCAAAGATCTTATCCTATGCTGTTCAAAAGTTTAAGTTTATAACAACTACCAAAACCCAGTTTGTTTCTGTCTTCTTATTCCATCATAATTATAGAATGCTGAGGACTTTACAAGTCATTCTGATCGAATGAAAGTGCTCCAATGTTACAAGCTGTTTTTGCACATCTACGCCCCGTCACAATGCGCTGACATAGGGGAGTGGTCTTAAATGAGCCTGCTGTTGATCTCATTATTGCCTCAAATACATCCTGAAATATGGAACCAAGCACTGAACATAATACCTGTGACTTACTAAATTACTACAGATCCAACATCATTACATTTCAATTTTTAATTGAATTATGCTTCTTTAAATAAGAAAACTTGGCTCTTTTGAAATCTCAGCAATAAAAGTTATTTTCTATAAGAAAATCATGAAGTCAAATACCGAGAACCTTTGTTCAGTCCAATTTCCAGCTTAGAAACAATGACAATACTTGCTCTACACTAGGTTCAACTCAGTTGCCAGCACATTCAACCTTAATCCATTAAAAAAATGTTGATCAGTTACATTATCAAAAGTATGCAAAATGCAGGAATTCTTGACATATTAATCATTACCTTTGAAAATCCTGAACTGTTTAAATAACTAGCCAGAAAGATCTTGGTCATGGGAATGAAGTCACATGCCAAGTTATTTTCCCCCTCCCTTTCTGTTTCAAAAAGGAACAGCTTAAGCAATCTTGCCAGATTTATACAGCCATTCCAGCACAGAATGTGCTATTCGGCCCCTTGAGTCCATGCTGACTATAGAGCAATTCGATCAGAGAATTCCCCTGCTCTATCCCGCAGCACTGAAAATTGGATTATCCTCTACTGCCCATCCAATTTTGTTTTGAAATCGTGTTTTCATTCCTACCACTCTTGTAGGGGCCAAGCTCCTAGCCATTACCACTCAGTGTAAAACAGTTCCTTACTTAAAATTTTAAATCTGTATCCCTAACCCTTGTATCAATTAGTGTGAACAGGTCTCCTTTCAAGCTAGATCTAACTGATCTAGTACAATGTGTATTTTATATATTTAACAACCAAGGTATAATCTAGAACTGGCAAAACCATTGGAGTACAAGGTATGGCTCAGACTTGAGCAGCATTTAAACTGAAATCAGAATACTCACATGGATTTTCAAATGTTAAAACTTATAAATGAGAATAACTGCAACTTATTATTGAACAAAATGTATGGACCAATTTGTTAATCAGAACACATTGTAAACTTTCATGCATTCAGCAGCCACCCACTTTTAAAGGAGAACAACATTGAAGTTGAAGAATGAGAAGACACCCAAAGCTCATGCCCACTACATTCTTCTTGAAGGCAGGAATCATCTTAAGCAGTCCATTTTTTGCAACAATTAAATAGTACCCTCTAGCGTTTCCACAGTAGCCAAATCAAAACTTTTGAAGCACTTCACTCTAGTACAAATGTAGGCTTTGTTCATCATACCAGGCCACCTCTGAAACTTGGAAGGGTGATGACTTAAAACTTAATGTAGTGTGATCAAGTCTAAAAGGAAAACCGAATACTGTAACAGCACAACTCATTGTCAGGTTTAACTAACAACAATTATTCAACACAATTCATCAACCACAGCAACCTGCAATGCCAAAGCTTCAGGTTTCAATTAAAGCAAGATTACCTTTTGAAAATTGCTTTCCAGTCAGAATTACATAAAGGGGAAAAAAAAATAGGAAAAACTGGCAGTTATATTGCTGGAAGTGTTAGATTATATGTAATTCAATGCATGAAGTGATTGCTGCGACTTACTTCGCAAGACACCATCTTAAATAATTATTTAAGAATTAAACACGCTTGGCTTTCTAAAAGAAAACCACAGTCTTTTACCACTTACCGGTTTCGGCATTTTCGGTCTTCAACTAGAAATAACTTTAGAAGAAGTGCTTAGAGGTTGAGGTTTAAGGTCCAATCAATCACCTGCCACAAAATGAATATTGAGGTAAGGAGCTGGGTCTGGGTAGAAGTAGTGCCTGGCCCGGGCAAAACCTCCGTCCTCTCCGGCCTGGCAAAAGCTGCAGCTTGTAGTGACTCACCACCAGAAACTTCAACCGGCAAACACGGCACAGTCAGAAAATCCACTAAAAGAACTGCGGGTGCCGCCCACTCGTAAAATGCCTCTAGGGAGGGGAGGCGGTGAGGTAGACGAGTGTGCGAGGATAAATGACCGTGGGCTCGGTTCAGGGTCGCCTAGGGTTAATTAAAGTGACATTCCCCCGAGATTTGGGAGGTTAAATCAGGCCTTGGACAGTTTGAGGTATGAACCCATACCCTGGTTAATTCGGGTGGATTCCGCGTATACTCTCTGACATTTACCTCAAATCGTTATTTAAAATTCTGAAAGAACAGTTTTGATCCAAATTTTAAATTTGCTTTATTAATTTAAATTAGTTTGACTGTAGATTAATTAGATTCAACAAAGAAAACCTTTTCGAAATTCTTATATCTGATGTTACGCCCCCCAGCACATTTCCTCCCCCAAAAATTCGGTGAAAGAAGCAATGCAATCTCGGTAGAGATTGGGCCGGACATGCATCAATCACAGCGCAATTGCACTCCACCCGCTCCTTACTACCTCTCTAGTGTTCTAACTTTTTTCCCCAGCAACTCGGCTCCTTACCTGCACGCAGGTCGCTTACACCTGGCTGTTTCCAATATGGCTGGCTGTTCCGCCTTACCTGATCCTCTCCGTCTCTCGCTACCTGCTTTTCTTTCTTGCTGCCACTCCCCTATAACGCTGCCGCTCCCTATCTCAGTGGCGCTGCCTTTCACCCGCCTCCAATACTACAGCATTAAGAAAGCACTAACTTTCATTTAGGTAGCACCTTTGGCCTGGTGGAATTTTTGGAAAGTTAGCGCTCACAAAACGGAAATGACCAGACTATCTCAGAGATAGCAAGAACTGCAGATGCTGGAGTCAGAGATAACAGTGTGGAGCTGGAGAAGCACAGAGGAGCACTCTGATGCTGCCTGGCCTGCTGTGCTTCTCCAGCTCCCTACTGTGTTGTCTCTGACGAGATTATCTGCTTTAGTTATATTGATTAAAGGACAGATGTTGATCAGGGCATCGGGATAATTCATTTTCTCTCAAAGAATACAGTGGAATTTTTTTCTTGTTTGGTTCAAATGACTCATTTCTTTAATGTCCTACCAGAAAGAAAAGACCTCTCTGAGAACAAAGTGCTGCCTGACCCCTGCACTGAAATATCGGCATTATGAACTCAATGCCTGGAATGGGGCTTAAGTCTACACTTGTCTGATGTGTTTTATCTGAGCGAAGTATCAAAGTACAGTATGTCTAAAAGGTAGACAGAGTGATGGCCACTGACCTTGTTTAAGTGCAGAATAACAAACACAAACATGGACAGTATGCATATAAAGGGAAACAGCGTATCAATACAAAAATAGTATACTGTAGATACTGGATATCTCAAATAATAACAGAATTCCTTTATTTCTAGCGCTTTCTGTTTTTGTTTCAGGCTGCCACACTGTATGCAATCACAAGACACAGCAGCCCACTCTGGAGGGGTTAGTGGCACTTGCTAAATTCATTGTGCTACATTATATGCTCCATAGCTATGCCATTTTGAGGTCACAATGTTTGCCCAAACAGCTAGTAGACAGAAGTTAGAGTGGAGAAGTGAATGGAGGAAAACCAGTACTAAAAGACTCTGAAAACAAGAACCAAAAGACGTTTGTCTGACCAGCTACCAAACTGAGGTTCAGTGTGGTTGACAGTAACATGATATCATTGCCAAAATCAAGAGAACTGAGGAAAGCTACTTCATTCAGAGGGCTGTTGTGGGTTGCAAAGGGACATTGACAGGACGTAGAGCTGGGCAAAGAAGTGGCAGATGGAATTCAACCCAGAAAAGTGTAAGTGATTCATTTTGGAAGGTCGAATTTGAATGCAGAATACAGGGTTAATGGCAGGATTCTTGGTGGTGTGGAGGAACAGAGGGACCTTGGGGTCCACATCCATGGATCCCTCAAAGTTGCCAACAAGTTGATAGGGTTGTTAAGAAGGTGCATGGTGTGTTGGCTTTCATGGGCAGGGGAATTGAGTTTAAGAGCAGTGAGGTTATGCTGTAGCCCTATAAAACCCTGGTTAGACCACACTCGGAATATTGTGTTCAGTTCTGGTCGCCAGATTAAAGGAAGGATGTGGACGCTTTAGAGAGGGTGCAGAGAAGACTTACCAGGATGCTGCCTGGACTGGAGGGCAGGTCTTATGATGAAAGGTTGAGGGAGCTAGGGCTTTTCTCTTTTGGAACGAAGAAGGATGAGAGGTGACTTGATAGAGGTGTACAAGATGATGAGAGGCATAGATAGAGTGGATACCCAGAGACTTTTTCCCAGGACAGAAATGACTATTGCAAGGGGACATAATTTTAAGGTGATTGAAGGAAGGTATAGGGGAGATGTCAGAGGTAGGTTCTTTACGCAGAGAGTGGTGGGTGCATGGAATGCGCTGCTAGTGGTGGTAGTGGAGTCAGATACATTAAGGACATTTAAGCGACTCTTGGATAGGCACACGGATATGCAGGGTAGTTTGATCTTAGAGTAGGATAATAGGTCAGCACAACATCGTGGGCCAAAGGGCCAATACTGTGCTATACTGTTCCATGTTCTATGTTCTATGTTCTCTTCCACTCCATTGTGGTTTGGACTTTTGACCCATTGAAAGCCATAGAATGACAATGTCATTCAACAACAATATTTCTTTAAAATTGCCTGTCCTGTTTGTGAATGAATGTGTGCATATTTGGATTTAAAGGGAGGATGGTTTAGGTTTGCATATTAGTAATTAATAATCAATTTTTACCAAGTGCCAAAGAATAAGTATGTCATAATAAATATCTTTTTGTTTCCTTGTTCATTGATGAAACCTGTTATGTATTTCTTTTATATTGATAGAAGTTATTAAAAATTAACCATCTTGGTCATTTACATATTTGTAACAACTCATGGAATAGTGGGATTTAATTTCCAATGCACACTTCGCATTAGGGTCATGACAGGACTTCAGCTCCACTTTGTTTTCCACTCCTCAAGTCTTTGATCTTTCAAGAGACCAAAGATCTATTACAACCTTCAATATAACAACAATGGAGCATCCGCAATGTTCAAGAATAGAGGATTCCAAAGATTTATAGTCTTTTGGTTGATTAAAATTCTCCTAATCTCATCCCACTTGATTGTTTCCTGATACTAAAGGAAACTATATCTGTGTTCCAGATTCCCCAGTGAATACTTCAATGGAATCACTCTATTTTACAGTACATTCACTGTCTCTTTAGAATTTAGGTCATCAAGTCCTGGAAATTTATTGGATTTTAGACCCTTAATTTTCTCCAGTACTTTAAAAAAAATCTTATTAATTACCTTAATCTCCTCACTTTTTTCAGTGCCTAGGCTACAAACTGGTATATAGTTGCGTCTTCTACTGTGAAAACAGACATAGAATATTTATTTAATATCTCAGCCATTTTCTCATTCCAATACTGATTTCTCCTGTCTAAGTTTCTAAGGGTTCATTGTTTAGCTACTTTTTAAAAATATAGCTGATAAATTCTCTTTTCTGTATGAAAATCTGTTTTCATATTCCTGGCTGGGTTTCTCTTCTATATGAAGTTTTATCAATTTTTTGCTGGTTTCCAAATCAGTACCAATTCTCAGAATTGTTATTTGTTTACAACGTTATAAGCCTTTTCCTTTAATCTAACAGAACCTTTAACTCACTTTGTAAGCTAGGCATGAATCTTTTTTGCTGAATTTTTGTTTGACAATGGAATGTATTTTTGTTAAATGTTTTGAATTGAACCACCAAATTGGTATAGTGCAGAAGAACTCTTTTTAGTCCATATGCCTGCGCCGGCTCTCTGAATAATCATCACTGACCAAATCTTCAAAGGAATGGCACTCACATTCAGCTTGCCATTCTGCTCATTCTTTTTCATAGAAGGAGACAGTTCTGTATTTCTGAGAGGAGATTCCAGTCAGGAATTCTTCAGAAACGTGCAGCCGTATTTCTATTCTGATAGTTCTTTCATAGTGAAGATGTATTGGGGAAAGCAAACCACTCCCTTTTTCCCAACAGTTAGTTTCCGTATTCTGAAACATAAAGGTCCAGACAGCCACTTTGACAGCTGCTGTCAAACAATCCATATACAGGCAAATGTGTTGCTGGGGTGCTGCGAAGCTGAGGTGCCAGATAGGTTTGGGGTAGAGTAGGGCCAGATAAATAGGAAGCTAGACAAGGGTATTGGCTGGTTTGGATGCCCAGCTGGGTCTGGAGTGGGGTGGCAAGGTGTAAGCTGCCAGAAAGAGAGGAGGTAGGGTGCCAGGTAAGTAGAATGCAAGGTGGCAAGGAAGCCAGGGAAGTGGTAGGAAATTGGGTCAGCGGGGTGGATGTTGGTTCCCAGGTAGGGTATAGGACTAGCAGCAGGTGAAGGGGAGTTGAGTGTGGAACCTAGGAAGAGGGAGAGTCGAATGGTAGGGGAAGGAGTTGTTGGGTCCTGAGGAGGGAAGGGGTGTCAAGTCAGGATCTCGGGGAAGTAATGGCTCAAGAAGAGATGTCATTGGGGACATGTGAGATAAGTATAGGATCAGTTGAACAGTTTTGGGGGAGTTAGGCCATGTAATTAATAATCTAATGTTTCCTCAGTAACTATTAATTTACTCAATTTCAACTGAACCGTCCAAATTCTCCAATTTAAATGGAGATTTTCGGAAGGTTCCAGATGTATAGGGATTATTCATGTAGGATCTTCAATTTTCAGGCAATTCCATCATAGTCTGCTACACGGGGATTCCGTGGGATCCCTAAGTGAAACTCCCATCTATGCTGGAATAATGACTATCTAGCTGTCAGAACATCGGGGCTCATAACTCAGTGCCGTTCTCCTGCTTGTTCCTTATAACCCTGCACATTATTTCCATAATTTACATAATTAAATAATTGTCTAATGCTTTGTTGATTGAACCTATTTCCACCACACTTCCAAGCAGTGCAGACCAGACCCAAATCACTTGCTGCATTAACATGTATCTTCTCACATCACATTTACTTCTGCAAACTACTTCAGTTCTGAGCCTTCATTTTTTTAAATCTTTTTATCAGCAGCAAGTTTCTCCTTTCCAGATTATCCTGACTTTACATGATTTTCAATACTTCAATTAAATCTCATTCTATTTCTCCTCTCCAAGGAAAATGGTGTCAAATTTTCTAATCTATCTCAATGACTGCAGTTTTTTAACTCTGTACCAATTCTCATTACTCTTTTCTGCGCTCTCTCTGTAAGGCCTTTGCATCCTTCCTAAAGTGTGGTGTCCAGAGGTGTGCTCCAGTTGAGGTCTAATTAGTGTCTTATACATCTTCTCAGCTCTTATAGTCTACACAACAATTAATAAAGCCTAGGATATGATATGCGTTATTAACTGTTCTCTCCACCTGTTCTGCCATCTTTAATGACTTATGCAAATATACTCCCAGGTGTCTCTGTTTCACATACC